GGAGGCTGAGGTGAGAGGATTGCCTGAGCTCAGGGGTTCGAGACCAGTCTGGGCAACTTGGTGTGATCTCATCTCTACAATAAATCAAAAAATTAGCTGAACATAGTGGTGCATGCCTGTAGTTCCAGCTACTTGGAAGGCTGAGGCAGAAGGATCGCCTGAACTCAGCAAGGCAGTGGCCGTGAGCATGCCACTGCATTTCAGCCTGGGCAACAGAGTGAGACTCCACTTAAAATAAAAGAAAATAAAAAAGGAAATATACATCTATAAAAACTTGTACACGAATGTTCATACCAGCATTATTCACAGAGTCAAAAAGTGAAATCAATGCAAATGTCCAACAGCTCATGAGTAGAGAAACAAAGCATGGCATATCTGTACAGTGGAATATTATTCATCAAAAAAAAAAGAGTAAAGTCAGCTGGGCATTGTGGCTCATGCCTATAATCCCAGCACTTTGGGAGGTCGAGGTGAGAGGATTGCCTGAGCCCATGGGTTTGAGACCAGCCTGGGCAACTTGGCAAGACCTTATCTCTACAACAAAATAAAAAAAATTAGCAGGGCATGGTAGCGTGCACCTGTAGTTCCAGCTACTTGGAAGGCTGAGGTGGAAGGATCACCTGAGCCCAGCAGGTTGAGGCTGCGGTGTCCGGGAGCGTGCCACTGCACTCCAATCTGGTAGACAGAGTGAGACTCCAACTCAAAAAAAAAGAGAGAAGTAAAGTCAATGCTATGTGAAAAAGTCAGACACTAAAAATTATATATCATGACTCTACTTACATGAAATGTACAGAAAAGGCAAATTTATAGAGAAAGCAAGTGGATTAGTGGTCGCCTGGGCCTGGGGGAAGAAGTAGGATTATTCCAAGGGGTGTGAGGAAACTTATGGCGGGGTAAAAATGTCCTAAAACTGGATAGTGGATTTTACTGGAAATCATTGCCTTGTACACTTAAAATGAGTAGATGTTATGGTATGTAAATTATATCTCAATAAAATTGTTAAAAAATAATGTAGTACAAATTAATGTATTATAATAAGATATTCTTTATCACCCCTACCTTTTCTGTATAGAAAAAATGGCAATGAACAAAATGAAAGCAATACACTGGGAAATTGTACCACATATAGCGACAGGTTGATTTCCTTAATATAACAACGACACTAACAAACATGAAAAAGATCAACAACCACATTGAAATATGGCAAAGGATGTGAAATGACAACATTTAAGAAAAAACAAGCCGGGCTCGGTGGCTCAGCCTGTAATCCCGCGCCTTGGGAGGCTGAGGTGA